AAGGAGGGAATAATCCACAGCAAGTGAAAGCAAATGATCTCTTAGCTTTGTAAGTGACATCTTCTTCCCAATCGTGGTAAACTTGAAAAACCTCTCTCCCCTATTTAAAATAACCGGAATACTAGCTAAGGTAATATAAAAGATAACAAAAAAACTTACCGTTATTTGCCGCAGCCGATGAGGTAAATAATGCTACAAATAAGAATAATTTCATGTGATAATTACTTATTAAGAATTTCCTCACCTGAAACAGCAAAACATACGCTGTTTATCTCATTTTCGCACTAGAATTGTTGTTAAGCGACAAAAGGAGACAACAGTTTAACAGTAACCGAATACTAGCTCAGGTAATATAAAAGATAAAAAAAAAAACTTACTGTTATTTGCCGTAGCCGCTGAGGTTAATGATGCTACAAATAAGAATGAATTCATGTGATAATTACTTATTAAGAATTTCCTCATCTGAAACAGCAAAACATACGCTGTTTATCTCATTTTCGCACTAGAATTGTTGTTAAGCGACAAAAGGAGACAACAACAGTTTAACAGTAACCGAATACTAGCTCAGGTAATATAAAAGATAAAAAAAAACTTACCGTTATTTGCCGCAGCCGATGAGGTAAATAATGCTACAAATAAGAATAAATTCATGTGATAATTACTTATTAAGAATTTCCTCACCTGAAACAGCAAAACATACGCTGTTTAGCTATCTTATTTTCGCACTAGAATTGTTGTTAAGCGACAAAAGGAGACAATTACTCAGTTATTTAAAAAAAATCTAGAGGTGTACCACAGGTAGGTCGTGGTAATTTAGCAATCAAATTGAGAGCGCTTAGCAACTGGGTATAGTAAAACATTCAAAGCCAAAGAAATCAAAACGGCCAATCAGTCGAAAGGTTTACATCACGTGGTGCCAATAATTCCTGGAAGTGACTGATGAACGCAACCGACCTAAAGCGCGGGAAAACACGAGTGGCCAAGCTGCGGAATGTTTTAGTTATGCTTCTGACTATTTGAGAAGACAGCGTGAGTGTCGTCGACCAATCACATGGCGATGAGGCAAAACTAATGCAAAAAGTAATCGTTAAGATAGTGTCAATTTCTTCGACCAATCACATGGCGAAGAGGGCAAACCTGATGCAACTCGAGTTACTTTTGACCCTTGCTTGAACAACATTCTATTTTGGTTCAAAACGCATCACGTCACCGAATATCCCCTGACTAACTGGGGGATATCTAAGGATATAACCCTGGTGATATTCCCCAATTTTCAAACCTCACGTCCAATATGGAAAATTTTACGCTTTAATTTTAATTCAAGATGAGAAAGCGTTGTGTGGTTGTGACAGAAGATGGAACATGTCTTTTTTTGTTCACAAAATCGTACCAGAGAACACTGAAAAGTGAACATCCCACGCTGTACACGATTAACTGTTCGTAAACATTTTTCCCGCGCATTAAAAAATATTTGTAGGATAATTAATAAAATGACCTCCATTTGGCGCGAAAATATGCTCGTATATTTGTCCTTGGTCATTATCTGTTCCTCGAAGCTCACAAAAAGCATCTTGAAACAGATTAAGTCCGCAGAGAAATATCCGTGCATATTTTCGCACCAGAGGGAGGCTATTTATTGTTCATATATACCACATAGGTGAATAATGCTTTTCGCGCTCGATGGTGGCTGTTTCAGAAGTGATTTAGTGGCAAGCACAATTCACCTCCGAGCAGCCGGAGACACACAATCGCCCGTCAACAATTTGATTTCCGATCATAATTTGGTATATTGACAACAATAAACGACTTTTTGATGGTCTCTGTGTCGAATATAATTATTCACCTCAGTGTCGGCAAATGTAGAGGATATCCACTTCGCTGCTTCGCGGCTCGGAAAATAACCACCACTATCCACCTCTACAACTTAAAGTCAATCTCCCCGAAGGGCCTTTCAGTTATTTTGAATACCGCAAAATTGATGTCAAATGCGCATGCTCCCGTCAACTAAGTGCTTTCATCAGCCTCTTTCCGCGAGGCTTCTTTGTTCGGACTTGAACAGAAAGGGTAGCACAGATTATGAGTACATCTCGAAGATCGCATTTTCATTACTTTTAGTGTGAAAGTTTCATGAGATGCTGGTCGTTGTACAAAACTTTATGAACCCATTGTCATGTAAAGTGCCCGCCCGTGGTACAAACGAACTCAGAATAAATATGTCAGATGAAAAATTTCATTGAGCTCCCAACATGTGATATCCACAAACATGAGCAAAGGTCACTCTGTTACCCTCTATAAATGTGTTTTGATGTGAGTTGTGTCTACTGGCCCTAATAAACCAAGTCTAGGCCGAGTGGTAAACTTCCCGGGAAAAATAATATCGACATATGGATGGCTTGTCCCACACCTATATGTCTCTGCTTGCAAAAACATAAGGAAAGGAGACGCCAAACGAAACAATTCAACTCAGAAAGAAAATACCATTTACAAAATGGCCTCGACTTGACATATTTGTCCCAGTTTGTTTATCTGACTCCCGCCGGAAAAAAAATATCTAACGTGTATTTTTTACTGACGATTATTCTTCTTCAAACAAATAAATCGCAGCGGGCTAGTCGTGATAACGTTTCGTGGTCTTAAAACTATAAAGCAAGCAAAGGCCTGACCCTCAACGTGATGTCTGGGAAAATGGAGAGAATTACACGCTTTTTAGGCCAATAAACCATGGTATTGCATCTTTATATCTGATGCACAGACGACGAGCCTCCATTTGTATTTGTGTCACAAAAAAATAAGTCATCGTTTATAGTCCTGTTACTTGATCATTAAATAGAAAGAGAAGCACACATGACAAAGATGTTTCAAAATAATCCGATAAAGGGAATAAGTTATTGTAGATGCATGAACGTTCTTCATTTTTTTTATCTTACCCCGTTATTGTGTTACTTCCGGGATAAAAATATTGTAGTCAAATCAATTCAGTATGGTCATTCGACTGGAACCATATACGTGTTGCTATCTATTTCGGAACATAGGAGAAGTTGTACTTAGATATTCATTGTTCAAGGCACATCAAATAAATCAACCCCAGGAGAATTACTTTGAGTGGTTTTTAGGACTAAAATACACCAATCTAGCTGAGAGAAAATTTGTATTTTCATAATAAAAGGCCACTTAATTGTTGATGTTTCAACTGTAACCATATACGTGCTGCTATCTATTTCGGAACATAGGAGAAGTTGTAGTAAGATATTCATTGTTCAAGGCACATCAAATAAATCAACCCCAAGAGAATTACTTTGCGTGGTTTTTAGGACTAAAATACACCAATCTAGCTGAGAGAAAATTTGTATTTTCATAACAAAAGGCCACTTACTTGTTGATGTTTCAACTGTAGCGAATAAAAAGTGTAAAATGAATACGAAGACAAAAAGAATATACGGTTGACTTCGACGCATCGCTGAATTCAGTACTTTTACAAACTGCTCCTCGATTCTAAGGGAATAAAAACCTGCATAAGATAGTGCGAGAACATACCAATCGAGATTATTGTATTATCAAGAGGAAAATATGGCGATAAGGTGATTACTCTTCGCTTGTGACACCGCGAAGAAGCTACATTTCCAGACAACAACAATACGCTAGGGAACTTACTCATCGCCAAACCTCGATTGTACACTAGGCTGCATTCAGCAAAAGCTTAAAGCAAAATATCAATAATTCAGTGCTTACCTTTCACTAATTCCAAACACCCGCAAAATGGCCGCTCGAAAGACTTTCGTCTCAAACTGCTGTTGGCTTTTACAAGCGAAAATTTATGGCAAATATGAACTGAAATTTAATCCACGAGTCGTCACAAAACTGCAACACAGGAAATGAACGGTCCAATGGCAGCTATTGGTGAAGGTAACGCAGTTAGCAGTCGAAGGGAAATCCGCATTAACCAGCGGAAACAAGCGCGTTTGCTTGAGCAATAGATTTTACGTTGACGCAAAAGGCATTTGCCTATATAAACAATTCAAAGACAATTAGGCGGGCTCATGCATATTGACGTTCTTCAGAAAAAAGCCATGCCCCTCAAGTGACTGCATGATGTTTTACTCCATATGTTCAAAGTTTGATTACAAGCGAAACTCGGTCGGATCGATTCAATTTTGTAATTCCTGATAGATTTAGTTTTCTCGTAGAGAAGGCAAGATTCAAAATATTTTGAAAGCTGTCCATCGCTTTCATTGGCTGTTCAAATGCTATTAATAATAATGTCTTTATTTGCATCGAAGACCATCGAAAATTTCTATAAAGGGCTTTAGATCATCCTCTCACAGCTAAAAATATAACTGAAGGAAGAGAATGAATTACGTACAAGGAAGAAAAAAACGAAATATAATGTATCATGCTCATTATATAATTTCTAAGAATAACCGGTCACTCTTAAACTCCCATGGGTATGGGGGTAGGGAGGAAATCGATAAAACGAGACTATTCAAATTTCTAAATATCTCTGTGTTTTATGTATTCCTCAATATAACCGTTCAATTGTTTTCTTTACATCCAGACTAAAAAAGTAGGGTGTTCGTTGATGAATTCTTAGCTGTTTTCTCGAATTATCATGTGTTTATTTGTTTCTTCATTTATTTATTTACTTATAGAGTCATTTTATTCAAACATTGGCTTATCAATTTGATAGTTTTATTTATTTTTCTCTTTATCGGTTTATTATAAGTTCACTGATTCGAAGAGTCTTTGAAGGCGTCGAACCGGTTAAGAAAGGGTGANGGTTGCACGTATTTTCTCAGAGTTCCTTTGTTCGGATAGTGAGTACCTCAATTTTGGTTTTACGACAGACATGCGATATACTTACACAGAAGTGGATCAGAGCTATAAGGAAAATAAATGCCAGACATCCCAGCAGAATCATGATAACCAAGGCCCATTCTGGTAGTTTTTCCACAGTTTCTGTCGTTGCCTCCACTTTGACTTCAATATTCTTTACAACGTATCCTAATTTTCCACTTTCGCTTGCCTTCTGTAAAGTTTCTGTTAGATCATTCCCATCCACTTCGGAATCCTTAGCTAGAATGACGATGAATCTGCAAACTACACTTCCTTTCTTTATTAAGAAAATCCTGACACCAACAAATCCCTTGAGGCTTTTGTAAACGTTCTCCAAGGCTATCGTAAGGTTTCTCTCCAGTGACTTGTACTCCGGGCTGTTTGGATCGTTATATTCCTCTTTAAATGCCAAGTCAAACGACACCTCCATGTTGATCAATTTCGTTCCCTGGGGTGGTAGGGTTGGGCGCGGCTGAACAGCAGAGGTAACGGGTGAGATACTTGGAGACGATGGTGTAGCGTTTACTCTGGCTGAGATAGTTATGTTTTTCATAGATGTTATCAGGGAGCGTCCGAGATGCTGTGTTGTCATGGTGATCAGTCCTTCGGACGACGACTTACCACTTACTGAGGAGCTCTCGACAGGTGTCGATTGGATAACATTGGAGGATTGCACTACCGCAGAGTATGAAGAATAGGTTTTCTTTGATGATTGACCTGAAATCGCAAGATGATAGACAATTAAGGAGAAAAAAAGTCAAGTAATATCAAAAAATTTGAAGACAAGGAGGCTCCATCCGTGAAGGATCCGATGGGCAGTAATAGTGACTGAATGCCAGGTTGGCTGCCTGCCTGCCTGACTAACAGACAGACGTAACATATAGACAGAGAGACTGACTGAAATATTGACGATGCTACTGACGTATAGACAGACTAACCGACTAACACATCGAGGCGTGCTAGATGCGTGCTAAGAACGGTAATTAAATTAAACAGGCAGACTGACGGATAGATCGATAGACTAAATGACTGACACTCTGACTGATTGGATGAATGGCTCACTGACTTACTGAATGACTAACAGGCAGACAGACAGACTGAATGACTGACAGAAAGACAGACTGAACGACTGACTGACAGACAGACTGAACGACTGACTGACAGACAGACTGAACGACTGACTGACAGACAGACTGAACGACTGACTGACAGACAGACTGAACGACTGACTGACAGACAGACTGAACGACTGACTGACAGACAGACTGAACGACTGACTGACAGACAGACTGAACGACTGACTGACAGACAGACTGAACGACTGACTGACAGACAGACTGAACGACTGACTGACAGACAGACTGAACGACTGACTGACAGACAGACTGAACGACTGACTGACAGACAGACTGAACGACTGACTGACAGACAGACTGAACGACTGATTGACAGACAGACAGACTGAACGACTGACAGAAAGATAGACTGAACGACTGACAGAAAGACAGGCTGAATGACTGACTGACAGA